GTAATTAGAAAAATCTCTTGTTTTTTCTGAAAGGTGTGCTGGGTGTATTAAGGTTTCTTCAAGCTATGATGTTTGCATTGGAGGCAGAGGAATTTTGGACTTCTCCAAAGTTATGGCTTTTATAGTGACTAATTTTTTAAGATGACTAATTGTTTTTCTTTCTTTTTTTTAAACAGTGGCTGCCTCTTCTCTATTCTCTTTCCTTTATTCATTATCAGCGCCAATGAAGCAAAGACCCCTGGCAAAGCATAGTAAGTATTAGCCAGTGATGAACAAAGTTTTTGCTGTTAATACCACAGTTATGTCAATGAGACTTTTTTTTTTAAATAACCTCTTACATTGCAGGAAAACTTTAAGATATAGTTTATCAGAACCACACTCTAACCAACTGAGCTAACTGGGCAGCCCGTAATATGCAGTTTAAAGAGAAAAAAACATTTCTGGGATATATTCCAAACTGTTTCCTGTGTATATTTCCGAAATTGATCCTACTATACATATTCTTAAAATTTAATAATTCACTGCCTATAAGGCACTTGTAAACATCTGTAGTTAAACTCATTTTTCTTAAGAGTGGCCAACTTTTTAAAAAAGTAGTGGGCTGTATGATCTGGCCAAATGAGTTTATTCATAATGATAGTAAAAATTTTTAAGCGAGTTTTTAGCAGTAATAACAATAGCACCCCAAAAATGTTATCACTTCCAAGAAAATCTCAGTAAATCAATCTTTTATCAATTTTGGTTAAGTCCATGAGGATACTTGTATTATAAATTTCAGGTATGTTTTGGGTTTTTGCATGTTCTTGCTATCCAGCAAGCTCACTGTGTATCTCAGGAGGGATAATTGACTTTTTCTTGAAACTGAACCACAGTGTATGATATCTTCAGACATAGCTGAGTTTCGTACCCCAAAATCAGCCATAGAAAAGTACTTCTCAAATCAGAATTAATTTAAAATATAACTTTATTTCCTCTACGAGCCAGTACTTAGGTGATTCCATTGCATTCAGGAGAGCAGCAGGACCCAGTGCATTCTTTAGTTGCCTGTTCAATCATGGGTCTAATATCTATACTTCCTTGATCATGTTTCAATCGTCTTGTCTTTCCCTGTGTCATTTTAAATTTAAAGTAGTCAATAGTTGTCACATAACTGAAATAAGAATATTGATAACTAGGGAGTTAACAAGTTGGTTTCTCCCCTTTTAGCCTTTTCCAGTTGCGCCTCTTCTCCTTGGTGGTCTTTTTAAGCAATAGACTCTTCCACAAGACAGTCTACCTGCAGTCTGCCCTGAGTAGCTCAGCTTCTGCAGAGAAGTTTCCTTCACCACATCCGTCTCCTGCCAAACTGAAGGCTGCTGCCGGCCACTGAATCACCTGCCATCCAGAGGGGATGGGAGGGATTGGAAGGAAGCTGTGGAGGCTCTTTTCCCTGTTCACCTCCTCTCATCAGGGAAAGCAGGACCCACTCTGCCAAGGGCTCTCTGCATATTCCCCTCTTTCTGAAGAATTGGAATTTTTGTCTCTGGTGCACATAAGGTAGAATCATCCTGACACCAGTATGTGGATTTTTAACACCACTGTGAGTCTGAAAGGACCACAGGTTTTTCTGCA